GAGAGAGAGAGAGAGAGAGAGAGAGAGAGAGAGAGAGAGAGTAAAACAATCGAAAATAAAATAGCAGTAATCTGAGCAAAATACACAAAATCTGTAACAAAATCACAAAAATCTCTCGAATTCCCACTTCTATAAACCCCAACCTAATCAACCCTAATTCCTTCATCAATCAATCAATCAATCAATCCAAACAAATCATGAAACCCGCAGCACTAATCCTAATCCTAATCCTGCTAACAACAATCCCGCCACACACAGAATCCAAAAAGCAGGGCACAAAATTCATGGACAAAACAACAGTGGCAATATACAACGACATAAACGAGGAAGACAGCAGCATAACCGTCCACTGCTACTCCGTCAACGGCGATCTCGGCACGCACCAGCTCACCTACGGCACGAACTTCACGTGGACTTTCCGTGAGGATTTTTGGGGGATGACCAAATACTACTGCGATTTTGTAACGGAGTACGGATCTGGTAATTACGGCGTTTTCACACCTAAGCTGCGAATTAGGTGCGATACTTTTTGCCCGTGGTCGATTACGGACACTGGACCTTGCCTTGAGCAAACTGCTTATGGCCATGAATTGTGGTGCCAGGGTTGGAAGATTCCCCACCCCCCGCCCCCTGCTCTCACTTAGATAGTCAACGCCTTTTGACCTTGATTATTTATAAATAAATATTGCTCATAAAATATAATAATTGAATTAAGTACCTATTTTTTTTTTTTTTTTTTTGATTTTCCATCTAATTCCAAACATCCCAACTTTTAAAAACAAGCACTTGCCACTTAGGTTGTGTATGCAAAAGCTTTTTACAAACAAATTATGAGCTTTTTTTTTTTGTTCATAATCTATTTTTTAGGCATTTGCAAAATGAACTTTTACTTTTACTTCTCTTAAAATAAGCAATTTAAGCCATAATTCGTATAGTACTCCATTTCTATTTAAGTTCATTTTCCAGCAAATTTGCAAACACCTACAACTTTTAGAAATAAGCACTTAAATCATAATGCATAACTTTTACTTTTAAATAAGTTTTTGCATGCACTACAATACTCCCCAACTTAACTCACGGCCACTAACTTCTGCTTTTAAATAAACTTTTACAAACAAGAGCTATATAATTGTTAAATGAAAATCAGAAATCCAGTGTTTTGGAATTCTTTAAATTGAATTTTTTTTTTCCAAAATAATTAAGGATTTAAGACAACTGATTATAGATTTTAAAATATTTTTTCTTAGATATTGACTAGTTAAGGAAACGCTACTTCGTATTGGATGCACTTCCTTGTTTGAATTTACAATATTGGAACCTTAATAAATTAATATGTCAATAAATTCAACATAATCAAAGTTTTATTCCAATTGAAATTAGTGCGGATTTATTTAAATTTATTACAAAATTTTAATAATCCATAATAAGCTTACGTTGACTCGTTGACCAATAAATACACCTTAACTACTTTCTTTCACTATAAACTGTCACAAAGCTTATGGTCCTTTGCAATTAATCACAAAAGCTATTTCCAAAATGAAAACTTATTCAACTCAAATTCCGCTTATCACAGTATTTCTTCTTATCACGATACTTGCAAACAACATCCTTATAATAATATCCGAACCAATTGACCACGGTCTAATCTTCGATGACACGAGAGCCACGGTGGTGAACGATATTCAAAACAAGAGCATCGGTATCCACTGTTACTCCTCGGAAAACGAATCTCGGTAATTACCACGTGCTCTCTTACGGCACGAACTACAGCTGGCATTTCGACGTGAATTTTTGGCGAGCACCAAGTTCTACTGCGATTTTAGACGAAACATGGTTTTGGGAATTACGGTGTTTATACGAGGAAGTTGAAAGTGCGGTGAAGGGGTTCCGTTGACTTTAGAGGCGAGTCCAGGAATTTATAAGTACAGGGCGGGTTTAAATTTTTGGAGGTGTCGGGGCAACTCTTGAAAAAAAATTATGATTTTTTTTGTGACAAAATCAAAAAATAGGAAAAGAAAATGAAGAGTTTTTTTTTGAGCTTTTATGCATTAATTTAAATTTTGAGTGGACTAATTAATAAAAATTGAATGATCTTAATAGATATATTTGTATAATATAGAAAAATATTTATAAACTAGTACTTCATCCCGTGCGTTGCACGGAGGTCAGTTTCGAAATGAGAAATAATAATAATATGGAAACGGCTATCTCTTTATAACAACACAAATTTAAGTAAAACAAAACGAAAGGAAATAAAAAAACATAAACTTTATCTCTTAATTCAGAGTTGTAACATATAATATTCAATTAAATATTACAAAGAAGAAAATGCGAAACGCGCAAAACATGATATGCAAATTAAGTGAAATAATTTTGAAACATATGGTATAACTCTATTTCGTGGAATGCAATTTACTACAACATGTCAATCTTCTGTAAAATCACTAACTTAACAACAAACACGTAGTAGAGAAGTAACACAATAGATATTCAAATAACATGCAAGTTTATCACTAACGGCGTTCAATTAGTGATGCACATTACTCAAACAACAATACAACTTATAAATATTGCAACAGAGATAAGATGTATATGCCATTATTGATACCAATGCTAATATCAATACTGATAAGAATATGGTTACCAATACTGATATCAATCTTGATATTAATATCAATAATAATATTGATACTAATATCGATACTTATACTAATACCAATACTGATACTCATACTCATACTAATACTAAAACTAATACTAATACTAACACTAATACTAATACTAATACTAATAATAATACTAATACTAATACTAATACTAATACTAATACTAATACTAATACTAATACTAATACTAATACTAATACTAATACTAATACTAATACTAATACTAATACTAATACTAATACTAATACTAATACTAATACTAATACTAATACTAATATTAATACAAATACTAATACTAATACGAATACTAATACTAATAATAATACTGATAGTGCTAATACTAATACTAATACTAATATTGATACTGATACTAATACTAATATTAATAAAAATACTAATACTGATACTAATATTGATACTGATATTGATACTGATACTGATACTGACAGTGATACTCATACTAATATTGATACTGATACTTATACTGATATTGATACTGATACTAATAGTGACTCTGATACTGATAATGATAATATACAATAGTAAATTCGAACATATATCTTTCTTTTATACAGATAATGTTAATATACAATATTAAATTAGTACAAAAAAAAAACATATTTTGTTATGTACATGTAAAATGTATAATATATTAATATCAAATAATTTATTATACATATTGTTTAATATAAATCCAAATTTATTAATTAAAATACAAAATTTTCGTAACATCACCAATCATGCAATTATAATAAGGGGAGACTTTAAATTGAATTTAAATAAATTTAAATTAAATTAATTACTATTAAAATTAAATTTATTTTTAGTTTTCAAGAAAGTTGATATATTTAGAGATTTTATAAATGGTAGGATATAAATATATTAATAAAATAATAAAATATATTTAATTACCTTTAATTTTGGAAACGATGACATGTTTTTTGATGATTTATTTTCACCAATCAATTTGCCACATGGGATGAAATTAAATACATGTCACTAATTGAAATTGACAAATGTCAATCAATTAGGTGTGGACTTCAACTTTTATATATTATATAGATTATATTATCAAACTGACATTAAAATTATTTAAAATAATATAAGGGTATAAGCAAACGTTAAGACGTGAAAATAACGATAATCGTTGTTAATAGGATAAATTACGAAAATCCTCATGAACTTAGGCTAAATTACGAAAATCACCCCCACTAATCGGTAATTACCATAATCCCCCAGATGCTTGTTTATGTCTTACACGACCCCCTTATGGTGTGATTTTTTACGGAATCTTTTTTATTC